GTGATTGCCTTAAATATACGATGTTTGTTAAAAATACTAAGTCATAGTAACTTAATCAAACAAATTAGATTTACTTGCTTTGGTAATTTTGGTAAGAAATGGTACTGTATTTAAGGTAGTTTCCATCATCAAGAATTAACTACTGAAAAACAGCTGAGATTCTATGATAATAACAAATTACAAACCTGTATGTTCTAAATTTCATTCTGTTCTGGATCATAGATATACACTGTGGGGAAACTTAGATTAGAACAAAAGAGTCATCCACTCATCTTTGGTTCCCATCACAAATTGTATGCTACATGCATGCAAATCCGCCCCGTTATTGTTCCTATTTCAGGTCAAGTAGGTTATGCGTCCTGGCCCTGGGTTCGGACCCCACGAGCGGGATCATGGATGCGCACTGCTGGGGGGTCCCACAAAAGGACGAAATGGTCGTCCAGTGCTTCCAGGCTTTCAATGGTGGTCTAACATCAATCAGTTCAAGATCTCAATCAATAGCCGGTGACCATACCACGTTGAAAGCACCGGTTCTCGTCAGATCATAAAATATACTTATAAGATAATTTTTTATTATGATAAAAGCAATATGTCAAACATTTCACTGACAGGCTAATAATTAAAGGTAAATATTTTATTCACATTATAATTTATCTAGATAAATAAATAAAAAGAAATTATTCACAGTTAATGTTGAATTTTCTCAAAGTAAATTTGACATACCTCAAAAAATCATTATTCTCTTGACAACAAAATCCAATTGTAAATACTTAATGAGAATTCACGTAATGCAGAATTAAAATTCACATAAGATTTATTTTAAGTTGATTTTTTATAATTGTAACTTCCTAATCACACTTACCTACTTCTTCATTCAATATGTTCCATGATTTACCGATCTTTTCAACTAATCTAAACACCCACCTCTTTGCTCCTATAAAATGTTAATAAAGCTAAGATTTGTATCACTAGGGTAAAACAAGAATTTTCATATTTTTGTCTTTCGTATATTAAAGGAAATTCAAATACTAATATCATTGGATAGAGGAATTTATTATTTTCTCTCTCTCCGTTTCGTGAATTCTACTTAGTATTAGCCAATAAGCAATGCTAAATTAATTTACCTGTAATAAGGTAAGAAACGAAGAGTAACTTTTGATATTGAGATAGCTTTCGCTGCTGATTAAAATTATTTGATTAATCACCGAAAATCCCAGAGTACTGAACAACTGTTTCGCTCTAGTCTGAGACTCCTCAGTATTGAACACCTGTTTTAGTGAAGTTATTCTGTAACGAAGCGTTTACAGTAAAGCCCAAACTTTTATAATGAGCTATATTTGTTCCCAGAAGATTGAATAAACTTATTTATGAACATGGAAAATGAAAGCTAATTTATTGACGAAAGTTTAGAAATATCAAAACTGATCACTTCACATGTTCTTCAAATAAGATACGATGTATTTTGCTTTATACAGAGTTACATTACAGGTTACCTTAAAATAATAAGACGAACTCCTTTGTCTAATAACATACAGGAAAATGTATAGATCTCATAAGTCAATTTAGACTACAATTAAACTATTGTCCAGCTATCTATAGATTTTTCCCAATAATTTACAGTTGCATTTCTTTTTCTTGTTACAAAATAGACTAAAATAGAAAACATATTAGATGGCTCAAGAAAGCTGATAGGTACGATCGTATCTAGATTTTACATTAAAGTATAGTTTACAGTTTAATTATCGATTTAGTCCTCATGTAAATTGAAAATTCATCGTGTGATCTTACGTGTTCTATTAAAATTGTTAGTATTTCTGATTACTGAATTTAGGATTTTGCAACACTGTATTTGTAAATAAAGCGAACCATATGTAGGCAATTCAAAAAGCCTCACCATACTTACGGATCTACAAGTAGAATGATCTTTCGCTGCATAATTAAGAATGCTTTGTTGTTAAAAAAGATAAATAGCCACAAGGAACATTTGACCTCACAGAGAAAATAAAAACAGAAGACACAAATTATTAGTCATGGAAAGCGACTGTTTGCGTAAATGATAATTAAATGTGAGTATGGGGGTTTGCGGAAGTTATTTACTATCATTGAGATCACGAACCGACTTAACGTAGATAACTATCGAAGACCAGGAACCCCTGGACATCTTTTTTGCCCTAGTATGGGAGTTTCAACAGTGCATATCAGCAACCCTGGCGAAAACCGAACTCAGGATCACCATGTCTCGCGGCAAGAGTTCAACATTTAGATCAATTAAGTCGAGACATTGTAAAACCATATTCAATTGTCCTTGGTGGATAATTGACCGGTTATATATTATCAAAAACTATTTATTCCGGATGGTGGGTAGATAGGTAATTAAAGTAAATGTCTAGCTTGATAAAACTCCGACTGTGACACACTTAAACAGGGTTTTGGATGAGTTGCTAACACATATCTTTTGAAAAAACATTGATCATTAGTGACTTTCCCTATGGTTCTTAATAGTAGTCATTGATGTCACCTTAGATTCTTTTGAAATACATCTTTAGCATTCCTACCCAGTCAGTTTGAGAAAAATTATAGTGCATGTCTAAAAGTAGTGTTTAGTTTTTCAGAACCATGTAATAAGCTTCATTATAAGGATTATCATAGAAATACTACTGACTAATGATTGATCTCATTGTTGAGCCCCTAAAAATCCTCCCGCTCAGCTGTCCAGGTTGTTCCCATTTGGTTTATTACTACCACTACTAAAAGCGAAAATATGTCGTGATGCTTAACAACCGACTAATACTCATGTAATCAGAAAAAAATATCAAAACCGACTCAATCTATCAGATAATTGAAAAATGATAAGCAACTACAAGATCATAGATCAGGTTATAGGAGAAAACGGTTAAAATAAGTATGTTAAGAGTAACAGCAGAACTATGGATAATAACCAACCAGTCGCCCTGGTAACAAAACACACTGCTGATCACTTGGTTAGAAATTCGAATAGGTCAATTAGCTTTGAATTGTGTGTTGATAATTTTGTCTAAAATGACAATAAACACTTGTTGAATAATGCATTAAATTCAGAGAATACAACTACAAATTTCTCCTCCTCATTTTCACATATTCTTCGTCATCTCAAAAACTTGAAAGTCACTTGTTGTCTAGTGCATTCCATCTAAAAACAGTGTGATTAATTCATTGTGAAATTTTTGCAATTATCGATGCAAAGGATGACAGTTAGTTACTATAACCCAATTTAATTTGAATATCTGATACTTCTTATTTGCCCTTAATTCTAATAAGTTTTAGTTTTGTCAGAGATAGTTTATAAATTTTGAAAAACAAACTTTTATCAATTTGATCATCCCTATGAATTGATATGTATATTCTACGATCTTTTACATAAATATATTCTTATATAGCTAACAATTATCGATCAAACCCACCAGTGATTTTAAGACATAAAATAAGTTGATGAAATCAATTATGTAATGCACATAAAACAGACTTAAATAACATTTGTATTTGTCAATAAATATCGGTAGATTATTCGATAGTTTCCAGTTGAAGAAAACTCAATAAACATTGATCAAATAAAGTAAATAAAATCAATTATCAACTTTGTTGAACATTTCATCTAGTTGAACTTAATTTTCACATATAAGATTCCTCAATGATAATCGTTCATGTTTAATTCTATGGAGTTATTCAGATTGATTTTTTTAAAAATCCTTACTAACTAAAACTATTTTCAAGAACCTAATTGCACAATTAGCTAAATAACTAGTTCGAACTATTTATCTAAAAGAAAGCAACATTGAGAAACTAACCCAACTGAGTTGAAAAGTTTTCTCTAACAACATTTCCGTCATAGTGTTTATGACATACACATCGCGTACTCTTCCATATATCAAAACTTCAAGAGAAACGTATGTCCCTTAAAATAAATAGATTTTCGCATATTATGAATAATTATATATATATATATATATATATATATATATATATATATATATATATATATATATATATATATATATATATATATAATAGAATATTTGTGTTTTCATGTACATGGTTGGTATTCCAATCATCAATGTAGGATATTTTATGATCACTATTTATTATTTTTATTTAAATAATTGTGGTCCTGTGATAAATTCATTTAATAAATCTCTTTGAGACAAATTAAATATGTTCGTTCATCATAATCTGTCATTACTATCATTATTAATAGAATTATTAGTTTTTTTAAACTATTGCTACTACTCTTGTAATTAATAGTAATAGTAATAGTAGTAGTACTAATAGCATGATATGATGGAATAAACAAGTTATTAAACTATGTTACAATTTTAATGCCATGGGAAATTTTTCAACATACTTCCAGATGAATAAAATTATTTATTCTTCTCATATATATATATATATATATATATATATATATATATATATATATATATATATATATATATATATATATATATATATATATATAAAACAAACTGTTTTCTAGTAAGGCATGGGAGAAAAAGTTCAACAACAAAACTAAAATGAAATTAAAACTCCGTACAAGACAGAAGATGAGTTTAATTGCCTCATTATCGTTAAATGGAAAAAAGCAGACATTTTCCCACTGAATAATGATCAGATTTTGTCCAATCTTATTTAAGATGATAGTGATAGCAATGACAACGACAATAACAGTAAGAACGACAATCGTGATAAATAACGTTTTTTAGAGAGTAAAAACATAACGAAAAGGAACACAAAGATCGCAAAAACAGAAACAATTTACCTGGATGATTTATTATTATTATTAGTTGTTTGTTGCATATTTGATGGATAAATGTAACAACATTTAGTTTTATGGTCTGTTACTATCTTGTGTCTCTTTAACATGCAAGCATTTTAAGCGGGGGTGAGATGAAAAATTATATATATATATATATATATATATATATATATATATATATATATATATATATATATATATATATATATATATGGAGAGAGAGACTATGATGTTACAGTTCGCTTTTTAACGCTTGTTAAAATAATTCATTTATAGCCATCTGTTCTTGTGAGAACCAAGGAATATGTTTGGATTTCTTTTTCTAGTCTGTGAGTTGAAAAAACAAGATGGAGGTAAGCAAGTTAAATAGAAAGGGAAAACTTAAAAGCTATTAGTAATATATAATTACAACCTAATAGTTTTACGACTTTGTATGACTAATAAATTGATACACATGAAGTTATTATTTCTCCCCAAAATACATCAGTCTGTATCTAGCTTTTATAAAAAGGTTTTGTTTTTTTTTCATATAAAACTCAAATATTTTAAAAATAATAAACAAAATGTTTCAATAACTTTAAGACCGTAAACATAGCGTGAATCGCCTTGATACGGAAGTGTACTTTTCCTATTTTTCCGAAGCTTATATCACAGACCGAGAGTGAGGCTTAAATGAAATGCAAAATGACAAGATAATCACTGAACATTGGTTCTTTGTATATTCTAATCACAGTCAAAGTTTGATGCTCTTCACATTCAAACATTTGGAGATAAATCAAATAAATCCCCAAGTTATGACTACAAAAAGTCTTCTCAAAACAATGTATTCTAATAGACGATGAGAGTAAAGCATACAGTACAAGTTTAAATTCACTTTAAATCTCGACTAGATCTGGGTCAAAAATGTCAGATGATGGAATATGTTAAGACTGTGATTGTTATGGAGACTGAGGAATAAGTACAACAAAAAGGGATACAATCACTCTGCTGTCAATAGTCAGTATTTTCAACCACACCAATACCATTATTCCCACTTATTAGTAGTGAGATATGGTAAGAATGAGTGGTCTCAATGATCAGCGTTCTCAAATATACTTTAGAAAGGTGTACTACTAGAGAAGACTTATAGTAAACTATCATTGGTACTTTTTCTTATGCTCGAATGACACGTTTCATGAATAAGATCTTTTACTTAAGTGATTTGCTATACATAAGCGAAATAGTGGAATTCATCTCTCAATCTTTCATTATGAAATAATGTAGGCAACAATTTGTGGACATATTCATCCACAACGATGATATTATAAAGATATTTTTTGGCTTGCAGTGATCTGAATATTAACACAAGGCCACTTATTGATAGTAACCAGGAGACTGTATACCCTATAATTATATTCGTTAACAGGGATTGAAAGCAGAAGAGATCTGAGTTAAAAAGTTTTTAAAGAGGGGATACTATTTACATAAGATAGGGCTAAAGTCCATATTGAGTGTAACACAAACAAAATTTTCCTTGTGGTTTGAAAATTGCAGGGAAAAAGCTACGAACAGATACTTGATACGATTAGTTTAGTAATTCCCAAATTTTCAGGTAATTACCAACTATATTCTCGAATCTAAGGGAATGATGGCGAATCAGTTGATGAGGTTGTGAATCTTCATCGACTTAGATGGTTGAGCCACGAGTTGCGTGTGCCTGAACATCGATTACCACAACGTGCAATGATAACAGGTGTTGGGAATGGTTGGAATAAAGTTAGGAGCGGCCAAACTTAAACGTGGCATCGGTGCTTGAAGACACTAACTTCTAGTCTGAGCCATGTTGGTAGATGTAGACTACTTGGTTGGGGTCCGCGTGACTATCGTAACCAATGGTTGGAGATTCTTCGTGGCATGGCTCAGAACCGATCACAATGGAGTCGGTTTATACACTCTGTCTTCCCTTAAACTAAGAGATTAAATTCACTTCATATCTTTCATTCTACGAAATAATTCTTTCTTCCTGTACTTTACTTTTATATGCAATCTTTCTTCTATATATTACCACTATTGAAGTAACTACGTCCGTGAATCCAGTGTTCATCATGTGCTAATGCGGTGTGGCAACTTGAACCGATGCATATACGTGCCTAGTCCTACGTTGTAGCTGACTGGCTGATATTCTCGAATCTTATTACAACACCGATAGGATAGATGGGTAAGAGAAAACCATAGGTTGATATCTGTCCTGATTGACTAAGACTTCTAGTTGGTTAAATCGAGGCATAAAAACAGAAAGAATGACCAGACAGAGGAACATTTTCAAATTCCAGTTGACATTTTGTTTTTAAATAATAATTAAAAAGCTGTTCGAGTCGCAACTGATCAGTTGACATTGTCCGTAAATATGGAACGTGTTCTGTGCTATTCAAATTGGAAGTACCTTCATAAGGCTAGTGAGAATCAATGCTAGTACTCACTTATGATGAATCGTCAGGAAGTCGAAAGGTTCACTTATCTGAATCCTTGATCGTGATGCGACAAATGAGATCAATCTGTTTTTAGAAAACCTAGGGGCATTATGCCAAGTTGAGCCGTTTTTGACGCCGTCGTGGTGTTGGTCCGGCTGCAAAAAGTCGAGCTCACAGCACATAAGTGAAAGCAGTTCAGTTTAATGTCTGTATTAAGGATGTTTGGAGACTTAATCTTCGGACATAGTTATTTCTTCAGAACTGCCGGTGATTCTGCAGCAGATCTTATTACACTTCATAGAATCGAGATGAGTATCATAAACCGAAAGACATCCTTTTTCATCCATATTTCTATCAAAATTAACATTCCGCAGTTTTTAACTTTTTGATTTTTACGTAATCTGCTGCGTCTCATGATAAAATACACAAATGACCATCTTCTTGACCAAGAATAACTGAAACCTTACAGATTGGAATCTAGTGGGAAGTGCAAAAAAGTTACCTAAGGGCTTAAAGATAACTTAGTTGTGTTCATCTGTCAGTAAACATAATTACTTTTAACCTATCGCAAAGCAAATTTCGTTGCGTTTCAGTATGTTTGTGAAGAATCAATCCTTACCTAATAAGACACACGGCCATTTCATTAACCTATCGGCAACCGAAAATTAGACATCACAGATAAAAGAGACTAAATGGTATCAACAAAATTTATTTATGTATCTCCAGGACACAGCTGTTTAAGGAGTAGTTTAATGCGGTGTTTCATGACAGGCTGTCCTTTTCTTGTCAATTTTTGCATTGAGATGTTACGTTCTTTACGGTTTTGAAGACGTTTTTCTCGTTTTTTCTCTATCGCCTTTTTCTTTTCAAGTTTTATCTATCAATTAAAATACCTAAAACGATAGAACTAACGTTTTTTATTTGCTTTTGTCGAGCTATCAGCTCATGAAACTTGGCTTTTTTGGTATTTTGTCCTTTTCTTTTTTTACTATTATGCTGTAAACTGGAAAAAATACTTCAATAAGATGTAACTACCTCTCATGGACAGTACCCTGTTTGTCTTTAGTCTGACCTTGTTTCATTGTTCGCGGATATGCAATATCCAATATCTCTCTCTCGAGCTTGCGTATACCAATTGATTTCTATGCGCTCGCTTATTGTTGCTTCGATACGATTTCAGATATTCGGTTATGTTCGACCGCTGGTAGTCTAGCCACTCAACTACACATATACTGGTCAGTTTAGTAGTAATTTGCCGGTTTGCATATCTTGCAGTGTTTCTTTCAGGTCACTAGGGCTTCTGGATACCAGTAGCGATCTCATTGCCAGGCATGAAATTGGTTGATCGCAATGAGAAAATAATAAACTAATGGTCCGAGTGCAATGAGAAAACGATTGTTCCAAGAATCTACTTAATTGATAATGTATAATACAGAATTGGAAGAATAAGAGGGAAACGGAGATGATAATCAGAGAGATAGAAAGTAGTTATTGGTTGTGTCGTAATTTATGAGACATGCATCAGATACAACTGGTACAAGAGGGGGATGGTAAGCTATGTGTGTTTGCAAAGTCTCCTCTTAAATCTATTTATGGAGGATCTGTGGACACTTTAGTTAGGAGAGCGTTTTAAATGGGAACAAATCCTAGTGGCAGAAGGTGAGAGTGCACCTGAATGTCTATTCTTCTATGTGATAACTGCTAGGGGTTGTATCGAAAAGCGTGATGATGATGTTCCGGTAATATGCTCGAGTGAGGGTAACGTGGCGTACTAAATATGTTGTGTGCCATCATTATATCACCTCTTATTCTCTTGTATATCAACGAGAATAATGCCCCATATTTATGTCCTGGCCCTATCAGCCTTTTGGTTGCCCGTCTCTGTATTTGGTCTGAGAGATTTATATCCCTTTCGAAGTTAGGGGAGCAAATATATTGTGAACTTCAAAATAGGAGTCGTGTGTATGCCAACCTGTCTTGGCATAAAGTGGAATATCGTGTTTGCCATGGCCTAATTTCTCGTGTAATATGAGCTGGTGTCTAAGCTCTCCACGGTTACATGCCTGATATCACGCTATGAGAAGACAATCAAGAGTGCATTTCCATGGAAGGTGTAAGTTCTTTGAGTTAAATGGGACAGACATTTTGACAGTATGAATTTTGAACCATTGTCCACCATGTATTCATTTATTGTTGTAAGGTCGTTTTGAAGCACAAACGAATACTCTTCGCTTTTTGTTGACCTCCAGATCTTTGTGTTGTCTGTATAGGTCAGTGCTTACGAGCTAACGCTATCTAAGTGGTTATTATTAGATATCAGGTACACCGATAGACGTACTATTGTTCTTTCTGAAACTTGATGTAGAGACCTCCCAACTCGCATACACTTTATATAACTTGGTACGAAACATTCTATTTTTCGGTGGTTCCGCAGGAAGGATAAAAGTTTGCCGATGCAATCCATATTTGCAACCTTCTCTACGAGAAGTACATGACGTACTGTGTGAAACGCTTTTCAGAAATCGAAGAATATTGCAGGAACCGGTACCTTGTGTTTCCATTGTGTCATTCACTTTCCCCATGCTCTGAAGATATTGGGTGCACATGAACTGCCTTTACTGGATCCGCGTTCGGCTTTATTGAAGATGTTGTTTTATTCATGTGACCAAAGTAATTCTAAGTCTGTAGATCCATTGGTTTGTGGGCCTTCTCCTGGTCACGAATCTGTAGAGATATTTGTAGTCAGCTTGCATTTATGCTGCCAGGTTGTTCTAAAGAACAGCTATGGCTTCGAACATTGGTACTGCGTATATTTCTCAAAGCCGAGTTATAGCTGAGATCAGTTCCCCTCAAGGAGACCTTCCACTTTTACGTGGATATTCGTCCGGCCTGTAGTGAGCGTTCCGTGCTTCTTTCAGTTCACGGTTTTTGCTTTCCAGGTGTGTACTTGCCCTAAGACGCATTGTTTTGGATGTCATTTTTAATTATGTCTCTTACTATCTACAGGTGGTCATACACTGTTAGCTTCCGCAAACCTAGTGGTTACAGAGAGCATTGGAACTCTTCCCCCATGGTCGTGTATTCTACCTTAATATAGCTAAGACAGAAAGCGTTCACAACACTCCCAAGTATCACGTAAAAAATGGTCATCACTTTCACTTTCGTGAGTGAACATGGATGTCTTCAACTACAAGCTGATTATTTTTCCGTAAACAGTCTAAGATTGAGGGTTTTCGGTCCCTGTTCTATCTTGTACGACACCCACATGTTAATAGCAATGATAATTTATTTTTAAATAACAGTCTGTTCCATATGACATACCAGTTTACAGGCAAGATCAAATTGTCACAGAAGACACAGTCTTCATTGTAGTGGATCACTCAACTAAACTGATAATTTATATGGTACACCGGTCATAGAATTATGGGAAATAACCCTTCTTCTCACAGTTACGGATAGGTATTGGCAACCTATTTCACAGTAAACTACATAGCGCTGTAAAAAACTTACAACGCATTGGTTTTCTGTGTGTTACAGCAAACGGTGTATGTGAGCTGTTTCTCAGTCTATAGACTGCGCAGGAGGCTAGAGATGAAAGTCCATACATTAATTTGTGGTGAAATATTAAATTGTTCCTTGGCCGATGGTGCCATGAAGATTCTAAGGAGGAGTGCTTCCATATATCTGTGTAATAGAGTCATATCCTAGCATGCGGTGTGTGAAGCGTCTTTGAACATCTATTCGTATGTTGTCTGTGGTACTCATGTTTAAGATAAAGAAGCAATATTCTAGGGAGGGTCGTATACATATTTTGTAAAGGGTAAGCTTAGACTCTGTTGTGAAGAAAATTTCCATTATGAAACCAATTTAGAAAGAATAAGGGAGGCATGTTCTTCAAACTTTAGGCTTCCTGTGTAATTAATTCCTAGATCGTGCACTGATTTGAATGTTTGAAATCTACTTTTACCTGAGAAAAGTTTTAGCTCCTAGGGATATTTTCCTAGATGGATGATTCCACACTTATTGAGGTTAAATGGTAATTATCATATTTTGCTCTAAATATTTAGGTTATTGAGGCCACTTTGAATCTGGGATACGCTTTCACTTGAACCTTCAGGCCTAAAGCTGTGTGCTACTTTAAGGTCATCAGCATATAAGTATGGTCTCCCAAATATTATGGTGTTGAATATATCGTTTCTATACAGAAGAAACAAGAGTGGACCCAATACACTCCACTGGATGACTCCACTAGTTATTGGCCTAGGTGATGAGCGAGAGTCTATGCGCTTTACTATTAGTTTACGATCTGTTAAGAATGAAGCGAACCATGAGTAGAGTGGGTTGTTGATTCCGAAGGACTTTGATTTAACGAGAAGCCTTTTGTGTCCCTTTGAGTCCAGACACTCAAATCATTACACGATCTAGAAATTAAGTAAACAAGATGTCTGAACTTTGAAGAACATGCCTCATCTATTATTTCTAAGTGTAGATGGCAAACAGGTTTCATAATGAGAAATTTCTTCACAACAGAGGCTAAGCTTACTCTCTATAAAATATGTGTACGACCTTTTCTGGAATACTGCTCTATTTTCTTCTCTAATATGAATACCACCGATAAGATAAGAGTAGAAGACGTTCAAAAATGCTTCATACGCCAACTGCTAGGAAATAACTCGAATGCCGACTACACAGATAGATGTAAGCACCTCTCTTTAGAACCTTTATGGCACCGTAGGCTAAAGAATAATTTAATATTTCTCTTTGAAGCGATGTATGGACTCTCATTTCTAACCTCCTGTCCAACTATGATTCACGAACCAGCCTATATACTAAGAAACAAAGCATATACACTACTTACCGTAAAACACCAAAAACAAATGCGTTGTAAGTTTTTTACGGTATGGTATGGTTTATTGTGGAACAGGTTTCCATTGCCTATCCGTAACTGTGACATATTTACCAGATTCAAAATGCTAATAACCCTGTCTCTAGACACTAAAGAGCTACAATCTTTCCTTGAACTCCCGCCCTTCAATGAAGCACTTTATTATAGACCACCTAATATCTAGACTGAACAAGAATATAACGAGCCCGTTTATTACTAATATGAATACAACTAAATTACAGGTCATATGGTTTGCCGTTTCCTATTATTCAGTGTCCATTAATCAAGGTCTAATGCTCCTAACCCTCACTTTCAGTTCCCAAATCTCTCTACTGGTTAAATATACATTATTCTTCCTAAGTCATGTCTTTTTTCTATTGCAAGTAGACAAATAACTCAGTAATCTTATGGATTCTGATATACTAAGGCCGATCATACGAAGCTCAAAATTGATCATAAAGTCTTGTGAGTTGTTCAATGTTTTATATTTCTTACCCTAAACATTCTACAATTTTATACTCTTTCATATCATTTGATTTGCTACTAGTCCTACTATCTTTCAACCACATATATTCTAACTTGTTTTTTCTATCTTTCACGAATAGTTATCTTCATAGCAGTGTAATATACTAAATAGACATCTAACCCATAATATAAACGCTTTAACTATCAGATTTGCTTGTAACATGGAACTAGTAGAGACAGTGTTTTCCAAACATGTGCTTTGATTAAAGCAGTATGCATACTTACCACAAACGTAAGAGAGCCTAACATCACAAAAGGAGGGAGGGTGGCGTTACTGACCAGCAAACATGATGGCGGGGAGATAACTTCAATCCACCCATGTCTGTAGGGCAGAACATTTTGTTAAATTACGGCTCCTTATGGTCTAGTGGAATGTCACGAACTAGTGGTATTGATGATAATTTATCATGCAAAATACCTCTTTAAATCGTGTTTAGAATGTTAAATTGGTTTAACTTCCTACCCGGTATTCCTATTACAAGCAAACTAGATAATGCACTAAAAAGTGAAGCCTACTAAAGACCCTGTAAAATGTAAAAAAGGCTCCAATAGCGTTGACAAAAAAGGGAGACAGCCACTTATGTATCATAACACTGTTTTTAGCACTATATTTTATAACTACGTATTCTCATACTCTCAGTTTCTTTCTGAACCACCTCCATTTATCAGTTGTTTATCCACTCACACCTTGTTTACAATTATTTTCTTTAACTTATTAGGATGTTCCTACT